CAATGCCAATTCTGTTCTGAAAAACTCTAAGAGCTCTTTGCTGGCCCCTACTGGCGCACTGAAACAATTCATTTAGCTGTTTGATATCTACAAAGTACAAACCATGCTGCGTATTTCTTTATGTAAACAGGGTACATACTTGTTTACATTTTTGAGTGCTAGCACTGCCCTTGAGGTGGAATTACTTACTACTGCTGATAAAGCTCCCGCAGGAGAGAACAACAGGCGGTTTGTCCTTTTAGAGCTTATGATTTTGTATATATATATATATATATATATATATATTTCTGCTTTGTATTTATTTAACCTTTACTTTATTTTCAGTTTACTAGGTAATAAAAGTTTAATATTTTAATTTCTCCCCTAAATGTCATAGACCGAGGTTGGTATTCTACTTGAAAGAAAAAAATTTATTTTTAAATAATACTCCAGGGTATATTTAAACCCCTTACCTGAATTTTACAGCTGGAACTCCAGTAATAAATATATACTGGCTCATTCATAGGAAAGTAAAAAGTAAAAGAGTTCCGCTGTTTACACCACATGGTTCTACACCCAACTTGTATTTTTCTAAGTAAGTTTTTTTCCTAAGTAAAAGCAAATATGTAAAACATATACTTGCACTTTGTTTCAAAGAGAAAACTCCTTAAGATAGATCTGTTCTCGATCACAATTTTCTAAACAGTGTTTTTAATCATGTAAGACATGACGAAACCGAAATATGGAATTTATTAAATTTTATTTCTGACTAGAGTGAGATAGTACTATATTTCAGAATGTATAAGTTAAAAACCTAGCAATAAAATTATCATGCTATTTTGGTTTTATATAATCTGTCTCCTTTTTGATTTTATAGATTTCAGTATATATTCCCTATAATCTTCCTTCTTTACAGAAGGAAGAGTCCTAAACTTTTCACTCTGCCTTCAAATAACTTCAGCTTTCCTTTTTGAATTAAGTTAGGGATCTGATGACTCAGAAAGTGGATCACTTCTATCAGGCTAATCAATGAGCTCTAACTGCTCATGCCTGTGGCCTAAAACTTCCATTTAATAAGCACATCTCCTTTGGCTGTTAATAGAAATAATGAAGCAGATAAATGTTTTCTCTTTGGTAACCTTCACCGTAAGCATCAGTTTCATGTCCCCTAACTAGATTTTAAGCTTCCAGAGAGCGAGGACCACATATTTCTTCTGATACTCCTGAGCTCATGCTGGGCACAGAGTAAGCACTTAGTAACACCAGAGAGGAGGCTGGATGGATGGTGGTGGATCCAGCTAGTACTTCTAAAGAAACATCAAAAAGTACTACAGCTGGACAAGAAGGAATGATGCTTGAAAAACCAGCAAAGAGGGCTTTAGTGAAGAAGAAGAAAGCTAAGAGAATCAAATGCACTTCCTAGCACTCTAGTCTGAGTTTAGGTTCTAGTGAGGCTGACCAGTTTGCTCTACTAGCTTGTGGCACAGGACTTGTCCCACTTTACAGCAGTTACGGGCAGAACATGAGGAACCTGGGGGGAAATGCAGCCCCTGAGCCAAACAGAGGCCAAAAGAGGAGCATCAACCCTAACCTCAAGGGGAGAAGGGCTGGAGAGGGGTGGCAGGCCTCAACTCGGAGGAATCTAGGCAAATCCTATAGGATTTCATATTCTGGAATTAAACAGATAATGTCTTAGGATTAGATTGAAGCTCGGGGCCCCACATCCTGAGATATCTGGTTATTGATTATCTACACAGAAAACAATGGGATTACTTACACGCTATGGGTAGGCTCTGGAAAACCCTCATCATTGACTAGAACTTTAAAGGCCAATATCCACTGTGATGGTTAATTGCATGTGTGGACTTGGCTAAGCTATTTTGCCCAGTTATTAGGTCAAACACCCATCGAGATGTTGCTAGAAGCTATTTTTAGATGTGACTAATATTTAAATCAGTGGATTCTTGAGTAAAGCAAAATGCTCTCCATAAAGTGGTGGGCCTCGCCCAATCAGTTAAAAGCCCTAAGAGCCACGACAAGTTGCCTGAAGCAGCAACTCGGCCTCAAGACTGTAACACAGAAACCCTGCCTGAGTTTCCAGCTTGCTGCCCTGCCTTGCAGATTTCAGCTGCATTAACCTGAATCTTACCTGACTCTTCAACCTCCAGCATCGCCTCACAGATTTCAGACGTGCCGGCTTCCACTATCACATAAACCAGTTCCTTAAAATTCCTTAAAATAAATCAATCTCTCTCTTTCTTTCCCTCCTTCTTTCATTCTGTGTGTGTGCTTGTGTGTGTATCAATGAAAGATGTTCAGAGTGCTTTGATAGCCACTGTCTCATTTCATGTTCACAATACATTTATTGATAGATAGGGCCAATACTGTTATTCCCATTTTTTAAACATGAGAAAATATTTTCAGAAGGATTAAATAACCTGTCCTGGGTTACAAGCTCACACGCCAAATCACCAGCAGGACTACGACAGGTCTTCTGATTTGGTATGGAATCAATAACATTCTCATCAATGCATTGTTTTCTTTTTGCTTTCTTTATATATTATGTTTATAAGTCTAGAAACATCCCACTGTTAATATCAGAAGCAACTCTTTTTTCCTTTCGACATATTACGATGCTCTGTATAGTGCTTTCACATTGTAAACACTCAAAGAATGTTCATGCACTGATCAGAGTATGACAAATATCAATTTTGGCAAGTGAAGAGATACACTACACCAAGGTTTCCCACAAAAAAGACTTGACAACTACAAGCAGGGTGTAGAGCACCAACATGAGCCGTCCCTCCTTGTGGACAATATGCCAGTAACTCAAATAAAATAGTTCACCAGTGATGTACCCAAAATCAGGGAGAAATTCACATCAGTGGAAAAATAACACAGTAATACCAAGACCCAGCAATTCAACCCCAAAATACCAATCTCAGAGATACACTCATATATCAGGAAACATAGCAAGAATGTTTATCAGTTGGTAATAGCTCAACACTGGACACAACACTAACACCTACTAAGGAGGATAAATACATACATTACAGTATTTTAGCATTTGTAGACGAAGGGAAAACTATGCATCTGTGAAAATGAGTTATTAAGGATCAATGTCACAAACATAACACTAAGCAAAAAAGCATGTCACAGAGGAAAGTATACAGAGCACTGCTATTTTAATAAATTCAGAAATATGAAAAGGAAACTACTGTTTTTAGATGTATATATGTACATGATAAAAGTATTTCAACCAGCAAAGAAATGATAAACACAAAATTCAGGACAGTGGCTACTACTGGTAGGGGAAGAAAATAAGATTGGGGAGGGGTATGAGGGGTTCTGAAGATTTTGGTAATGTTTGTGTTCTTGAGTCATAAGTGTACAGATATGTGTCTTATGTTTAACAAAGATTCATATTATATGTACTTTTTTGTATGTATATTTCATGACTGAAAAAACACCAACACTAAATTTCATCTGGTCTTATCTAGAAGGAAAACAGATCTGGAGAGACAGGGGAAAAATAGAAACTGTTCCCTATTCTATTAAAAAAAAAAAGCAAAAATACAAACAGAAAACCAAGCGCTCCACAACTAACTAAATCTGATAACCAAATCATCAACAGCCATCACTCAGCTTACAAACTGAGACTGCCGGGTAGTGATGGCGTCGCCCTCGGCAGCAAAACAGCACCTTTGCTTATTATGATGCTAATGAACAGATTTCATTGCAACGTCTTCTGTTACTAGTATAGCTTTCACTTCTTGAGGAGGGAAAAAAAACGTGTTATGGAGTCCAATACTAAAAATTGATACTTAAAAAAAAATCCAGTTTCTTTGTTAGCTACAAAACAAATAAGACTGTTTAATTCCTTTTTTGGTGTTTCTGTTTAATAAATGCTTCTGATGTGCTTTGAATATCTAAGACTGTTTTTGTACCTTCATATTCAAATCTTACAGGTTTAAAATATAAAGTATGATGCTAAAAAGAAGATTTGAAATAAGGTTCCAAAGAGACAAATTAGGAAAAGGATAGGATTTCAAGATAGTTTAGTGGGGAAAGTGGTGGGGGCGGGGGTGGGGGACGGGAGGGATAAAATAGGAATTTGGGGTTAACAGATACATACCACTATACATAAAATAGATAAACATCAAGAATTTATTGTATATAACCTTTAATGGAAAAAATATGAAAACAAATATATGTATGTATGTGCATGACTAGGACATTGTGCTGTACACCAGAGATTGACACATTGTAATTGACTGTACTGCAATTAAAAAAAAAAGAATTTATTGTATAGCACAGGGAACTATATTCAGTATCTTGTAAAAACCTAAAATGGAAAAGAATCTGAAAAAATATATATATATAACTGAATCACTTAGCTGTACACCTAAAACTAACACAATATGTAAATCAATGATACTTGATTTTAAAAAAGGTAGTCTTTAGGAAATCAGGAATCAGAACTATCCTTTCATAAAAATAAAATCAAATTTAACTTTGCTTTTTCTCCCTCTAAGGGCTGACAATCCCTTAGAGGACTTTATATGTCATCAGTGTAGAGAGGACAGCTTTCCTCTGTAGATGAGTAGGGATGAGGGGGTAGATGGTATGTTGTAACTGGATACAGGTAACCCCAAGAAATCCACTGGAGTGAGGGGGTGGTGACTCCCTGAGCCTGGACTACCGACCAGGGTACAAGGATGGACATGAGGAAGGCAAGACAGAGACATAGGCTTTCCTGCCGTCTCCTGTCACAAGCCTTGAGGAAAACTGTGTAATCTGTTGAGAACCAACAATCAGGAGAGGTGCTGGGAGGAGAAGGGTAGAGAGCAGCACCAGGGAAGAGGAAAAAAACTGTATCTATCCACCATTTCGCCCAGAGTTCTCCATAACCAGCCCCAAAGCACCCCTCACCTCACAGGTGCCCAGCCCACTTTTCCTTGCTGTTCTACTGAACTACACACCCTTGCTAAACAATTCACACTCATACAATGTTAACTTACCAATCGATTTTCATCAAACACTTCAAAAAGAAGTCGGTGCTCCTGCGGGTGGACCTAAGTAAGGAAAACACAACCTTTCTTTAAAAACAAGTGAATATCAGAACTATATTCAATATCTTATAAAATAACCTGTAGTGGCAAAGAATCTGAAAAAGTATATATATATACACACACACACACACACATATACACAACTGAATCACTTTGCTGAATATCACAAACGAATCCATCATTGTAAATCAACTGTACTTTAATAAAAATTAAAAGAAAACAAACAACAAAAAAACAAGTGAACATCAACCCACAGAAACTGAGAAATAAATGCTTGAAAATGCTGCCATTTCCTAATTCCTGTTATTTACAATGTATTTTACATCACACGAAATACTTAATACAAAAGCCCAGGCCAGTCACGTGTCACTCATTTCCTAATAGTTTTACCATAACAACAAATTGGTTGCTTATTCTTCCATTTTTTCTAAAATAGAATAAAAGAAAGTAAGATAAATTTTCAAGAAATTAAATATCTGCAAGCACTTAAAATATAGATTAGATTTTAACTTATTATCGATTTTATGTACTCACTTTTTATTTATCAGGTTAGAACTACCCAAAGCGGATGTTGATTTTATGGAAACTAGTGTTCTGAATCCTTTCAGTACTGACTTGATAAAACCATTCTATATAAAGTACACAAGCAGTCATAAAGTATACACTGAGTTTTCACTTACTGTTTATGTCTTACAGCAAGAGTAACAGTTAACATGCAGCATGCTATTTTTCAAAGCCAATGCTTTAATTTTTGCTGAAATGTTTCAACATCAAGTTAAATATCTACTAAATATCAAACACAAAGAAAATCTTTACTAATTTTTTATACCAGAAGTTCAGATGATTTATAAAATATTCCCACATTTAAGTTGATACTTTCCCTATGATAAATATACTACATTAAACACTGAGATATCTCAAAACTTTGGTTTACCTGTCAAAAATATCAATAGCCTTCAGATAAACGTCCTCTATGTGTGACAAAGATATTTAGGTACTTAACCCAATGCCCACTCTCCCTGATGTCCTTCTGAGGACATAATTCTAATTTTACCTGCAGCGATGGGTCTGGGGTCCACTGTATAACTCTGTGGGGGGTGGGCTTTTTTAAAAATGAAGTATTATATAAGTTCAGTAAAGTATAAAGTTTACTAACCTTAAATATACAGCTTGATGATTTTTCATACATGTATACTGTGCTATCATCACCCAGATCAAATTCTGGAACACTCCATTCTATTTTATGTACTGTCTTCTATGTGAACAGTGCCCTCTGGACTCGTTCGACATTGAGACTCTCAATACGACTCCCTAAAGGGGTTCCCTCGCACCTAGGGGCGACCAGAGAGGCCAACCTAGAGGCAGTCATCAGATGCGACTACTGGGAGAGCTCTTGAAATGCGGCTGACACAGCTGGGAGAGGTGTCCCTTTTGTCCTCTGCATTTCTTTTTCCTGCGTGCAACTTGGTCAGGACAGCTGGCACCGCTCCTGTCACATGGTGATCAGGGAGCAACCATGAGGTTGGAAGCCCCACTCAAGGGCTGGACGCCATGGGGCTAGCAGAAGAGTGTAAGACAACAATCTGCTCTAAGAAGATGTAGAGGGAGTTTTGGGGAGGAGATGACACTTGAGCTAAGACTTGAAAGGTGGGAAGAATTTGAGTAAGAAGGTATAGAGAGCATTCACAGCAAGACATCACAGGAGCAAAGGCACGGGGGCAGAATGAGCATGAGCTAAGAAGATTAGGCTGGTAAGAACATTTTTGTATTAGAAAATGGTAAAAAAAAATTCTGTTAGTTAGGGTAGAGCCAGGCCGAGGGCACTGATATCCAGAAAAGGAATTAAGATTTGACTAGTAGGGAAGAAAATAAAGCTTTTAAAGGAAAAAAATAACATGACATAGCTCCTATCTCATATTATTTTGTCAGTGATACACAAGATGAATTGGACTAGAGAAAGCGCCTGGAGTCCACAGGGGACTGTGGCCCTAGTAACTCAGGCACGAAGCGATGAGAGATACTTAGGAAAGAAAAGAAAACACTTTTTAAAGCGGTAAGGAGTATCCTTATAGACATCTGGGAAAGTCTTGCAACCATAAAGCAAAAACAGGACACTATTAAAAAAAAAAGACAACCAGAGAACAAAGCAGTGGCATTGCAACTAAAAATGGCAGTTGAATTCAAATAAAAGCAATTTAAGGTAAATTTGCAGAAATCTCCCAAAATGTAGAACAAAAAGCTAAGCTGAAGACAAATATGAGAGAACATAAAAAGAGGATTTTCTGAACAGATTCAGTGAAAGAATTAAGCCCTAATGCCCTAAAACAGAGGGTGAGTAAGCTACAGCTTATGGGCCAAATCCAGCCAGGCACCTGCTTACTTAAACAGCACAAAAGAGTATTTTTTTTCCATTTTAAAATGGTTACATTTTAAACAGATATCTAAGTATCCACAACATAGCCTCAATTTTTGTCCCCGGCCTGTGACACCTACAATATTTACTACCTAGACCTTTATAAACATTTTTGCTGACTCCTGTCCTAAGACATTTACTGTATGTTATCTATTGATTTATCTCCTATATATCCAGGACAGCAACTGCATGAGACTGTCCTTGGACTATGTGAGGAAAATGTCACTCTAATCAACTTCTGGGTTCTGCGGTTCACCTGAGGAATTCTGACTGAGAAAGAGAACAATCAGCCTCAATAACCCTGCACCTGGCTGGGCTCCTCGAACGATAACACGGAGGGAAGGAAATCATTAAAGAAATTATTCACACAAAAATTTTCAGAGCTGATGGGAACCAGTGGTCGTCTACTGGCCATACGTAAATTGGCTGTCTACCTATCTGTCATATGTGGAACTCATTTTGGGACGTGGATGTGTGAGCTATTCCACAGAATGGGAATAATGACCAGAATGACAAATAGGAGCAGTTAAACTGTGGTTCCTTCTGGGAAGTGAGGATGCAGGAGAGAGTATGGAGCCCCAGAGTCGGCTGCTTTCCATTACAAGCCCCTTCATACGATCTCATTTTCAAGCTACGTGTGAATTCTCTGATGAGATTTTTTTTAATTTATTAAAAATAGGAGTAAAGCTATGGTCACAAAACCCTGAGTTTACAGGGTCATATTTATAGGATGAAAGCAGAAGAAACAAAAATAAAAATTCTGGCAATAAGCTTTTTGAAAAGTATGTTAAGTCCATAAATGCATAAAAGAGTAGAGAAAACACAACTTGCCAGCAGGGTAACCAAGTTTTCAAAGAAGAACAAAGGTACTGATAAATGTCAATTTATTCTATGGTGTTCGTAAAGAACCTGAAGAAATGTTCCTGGAAATTCTGCTGGTGCCTGCAGGAAAAAAAAAAGTTCAGGCACCCTAAAAATTTAGTTTTATTGAGATATAATGTACATACCATGTAAATGACCCATTGAAAATGTACAATTCACTGGTTTTTAGTGCATTCACAGAGTGTGCAACCACCATCACAATTTTAGAACATTTTCATCACCTCAAAAAGAAACCCCAGGCCCTTTAGCAGTCCCTCCTAATCTCACCTCAACTGCCTCAATTCAGGCAACATCTAATCTATTTTTTTGTCTCTATAGATTTGCCTATTGCATTTAACATAAGTGGAATCTTACAATATGTGGCTTTTTGTAGCTGGCTTCTTTTACTTTGCATAATGTTTTTGAGGTTCACCCATGTTGTAGCATGTATCAGTACTTCATGTCTTTTTTAACTTTTTTTCCTTGGGGGGGAGGTAGTTAGGTTTATTTACTTTAATTATTGTTTTTTTATGGAGGTACGGGGGATTGAACCCAGGACCTCGTGCATGCTAAGCACACGCTCTACCACTTGATCTATGTCCTCCTCACATTTCTTTTTATAACTGAATAATATCCCATTGTATGTATATACCCTCTTCTGTTTATCCATCCATTTGTTGATGGCCATATGGATTGTTTCTACTTTTTGACTATAACGGGTAATGATGCTATGAACATTCCTGTACAAGATTTTGTGTGGACATATGTGTTAAGTAGATTTTAAAATAAAACCTGCATAAAAAAGTAAATGAACCAGATAAGTATTTTCACAAGCATAAAGCACCGTATAAATAAAAAATAACTTGGCATTTTATTTACATGTTTTATGTCTTTCTACATTGTTTCTCTACACAGTTAGTTATTTCTAATCAACAAATATAAATTATAGATACACAGCCATGGAAGAAAAACCCAAACAGTAAAAAAGATATACAGTACAGTGAATCATAAATCTCTCACCCTTTTCCTACCCTCAGGAAAAATAGTGTGAACGGTTTCTCAGGTCCTTCCAGAAGTATTTTCTGCAAATACCAGCAAACAAGAGAGCTGTTCTGTTTTTACATAAATAGGTGCATCACATACGCAGTGTTCTGTACCTTTGTTCCTTTATTTAATGTTTTGACACTAACATCCTATCAATACACATATGTCTGTCTCTTTTTAAACAGCTGATGAGGATTTTATTACGTGGCTAAACCATAAGTTACTTAGTGCTTTGCTAATGGGGCATCCCATCCTTTCCCCTAGCTAACAGAATACTGACTTTATTCAAATATTGGATGATGATGTGTGTCAGGCTTACAGGCAGCTGCTCACCACTCCCGGGATTGACTTCTGACTCATCTAAGCCTCCGGGTAATTCTATTCTTCTTACCAATGACTGGGTTAGAAATACACACACAACACAATTCTGGCCCAAGAGATATGAAAAAAGGTCTCTCAGGGAAACTTTAGGAAAAGGGTTCTTCACTTTTTGAAAGAGACATGTAGGAGAAACTCCCCCTTTTCTACCTCATCATGGGAGGCTATGTCATCTGGAACTGCTGCAAGCTTCTCGTGACCGTGGAGAGAAAGCCCAGAGGATCCCCGAGAGGCTGGGTTCAACACGACCGTTCAGCTGCTGCGGCCACCCCCTTTCTGCTACAAAGCTTGCGAGGACAGATAATCA